TACAATTGAAAATATTGAAGAACTTTTTAAAACACATTTTAATTTGTAATAAAAAATAATTCCATATTTTTTATCCACACAATTTATACATTTTAAATAATTAATAATTAGCTGATTTTTAAAAAAAAATACTTCGTGGGTTATTATGACATAAATGCATTTAAATGTATGTTCTACGCAAATTAAAATGTATGCCAAAAATATGTGTCATAAATCATTTAAATATTAATTCTTTTACTGTAATTATAAGGAAGTATGTCAGGCATATAATATTCAAATGTAATATAAACATTTTTTAAAATAAATATCGAGGTTATTGTATGTAATATTTTTTAAGTTTTCCTATATAATGATGATGCATTATTATTCGAAAGTTTGTGTGTTACTTTACATTTCTCCTTATGCTTTTCCCTTCAGTTACTTCCGTAAATAATTACACATAACTGGCCCAAAATAAAAATTAAATTAACGTATGTACATATTAAACATTTAAGCCGCTATCAGTTAATGACGTTCTATTTTTGTCATAGCAAATTAAAAAAAATTAATTTATTAATTTATTCAACCATTTTAATGAAGACATAATTAAATATGATTATATTTTTGACAGATTCAGCTGTAAATAAAACTTAACTAATAATTATTGTTACATCAGATTCCAAATAAATTCTAATGTTTTTAAAGGATATGTATTTTCAAAAATTTTAATCATGATTTAATTGAATAAGCTTAGTGAAGTTACCAAGTATTATTATAGTCAGTTATGACAAACCAAGAATTATTATAATGCTTATATAGTAAGAAAAAAACATATATGTGAAATAAGCACCCCGTTAACACTGATATAAAACTGGGTTTCCATTCGAACAGCAAACATTCTGTCTGTAATCATTTACTTATGATTACTTAGAATAGAGATTTCTAGTTTTACTTTAAAATCTTAGTATAAAAATAGGTAACGCTATGAATACACAATTATATTTGTTTTCAAAATCTTCGGTAAAAATGATGTCCCCTCCCCCTTTTTTTTAAAGTACTTTTACTCTACGCGAACAAAAAACATAACACGAAAAATACTTTGAATAAAACTAAGACATGCTCTTCAAAATAAAAATAAGCTCTCTAGTAAGAAATTTATGAAATTTAAAGGTTATAAAAAAACCCAGGCTGGGCAAGATCGACTAAACCTTTCATCCCTTTAGTGAGTCGATAAAATGAGTAACGAGCTTGCTTCGAAACTAAACAAAGGGAGTTCGGTGTCAGACTGACCACCTGACCACAGCAAGCATCTGCTCACGCACCTCAATGCCCAAGGTCACGAAAAATGAGATGGGCACAGTAGGTTTACTAAGTTTAGTTTAAGTGTTGTAAAAGGATTTATTCTCAACAAAAATTATAATAGTTCTTTTGTTCATTAGTATCTCATGTTTATATATTTACCCATTAAGACTTAATATACAATTTTGAAATATTCACACTTATACTAAACAAGTAATATAAAAAATTTTAAAGTCAATTACTACTTTGGTGGCGCCGTCTGTTGCAGCTAGTTTTAACTTCGTCAGAAATAACGTAAAATAAATTTAAAATTAAAAAATAAAATTTAATTAATGAATTAATATTTGAAAAAAACTATATTAACGTCAAGTGCCACCCGAAAAAGTTTTAAAAAAAGGTATTTAAAATTGAGGGGATGAATGAAAAGTATTTTATTCACGATAGAAAAATTAAACAAGATATATATATATATATATATATATATATATATATATATATATATATATATATGTGTGTGTGTGTGTGTGTGTGTGTATAAACAAATAAATAAATAAAAATATAAGGAGAGTGTGAACTAAAATAGTAGAGGAATTAAAAATTTAAGAATTATTAGTTCATAGGGAAATTTCTAAAGTCATTAGATTTATTTTTCTTTCAATAAAGGGAAATGGATACAACCTTTACTACAAATTTTATTATAAATGTTCAAACTAGTTCCATAAAGATTAATTGGTAAATTATCTAATATATTTTTATTTAAAGGCCATTATGAATACAACAATAAATTACTGAGAAATAAAACTTTAAATGAAAGTACACAAATCTTGATATGAAAGTAGACTATGAACAAACAAAACATCTTAATTGATACTTGTTTGATTAAAAACATAAAAATTTCGTTTGATCTTTCTAAGTCCACGATTGGGGTAGTATTTATTTTGTATATTTGCATTCACTAAAGTAAGGCAAAAATATTTCGCTAATTATTGGTAATCATTGAATTAATTATAACTCGAGGTATTTGTTTTCCGTCGCTGGGAGTAATCTTCATTATGAATAAACTAGCTACACACTGATAAGCTAGTTTCGAAGAACATTTAATAGCTTCAATATAAAAAAAAATGAAAAGTAAATTATTCCGAACTACTTTGCTTACAAAATCACGTTAAAGATTAAAAATATTTCCAAAATAAATTACGTTCATGATTGAAAAACAATATGCATTACTCTAATTAAGGATTTAATGTAAAAGTGTGTACCATTTACTTTAATTGCTGATTCCTCCATCAGTGAAAAAAATACCGTACATAAATTAAAAGAAAAGAAAAACTTTAAAAGGATGCTGCGATTTGATTCGATTTGCTTGGCAGTCTTATCAGTTCATTTACAGCTAATTTTTTCTGAGCGTCGTGGGGTTGAAAACATGCTTAATGACATTATTATGGCGCTAAGAGGAATGCTGATCAGGAAATGAGAAAAAAAAGATACTTTAAATGGTTAATTTTAATCAATTGCCCAAATGTACTATTAAAGAACGATGTTTTTTTTTTTCTTTTATGGAATTTGAATTTTGCTTAATAAAAAATTCATTTCATATATTAATGACACATAATAGCAGTACAAAATTAAATTTTGTTTACTGATACTTCGTAATTCTGTTTGTAACAAAAGTTTTCCATAATTAGTATTATTTTTACATGTTTAGAACATTCTATTCTGATTTAGTTCACTTAGATTAAAAATTGCGAATAATTAGGTATGTATAACTATTCATGTCCTTTTTGCTAATCATTTCTTGCATATAACTAATTATTGTAATCATTATACATTCTTACTGACATTATCTCAAATGAATACGTTTATTACCGCACATACAATTGTATTTAAATTACTGACAGCTTTTACTTTATTTTGATATTAACTCAACACTGAATTAACGCAAAAAAATTATCATTGCTTACATAAGGATATATTTAAAACATTACTTATTTTTCTAAAAATTATTGAAATTCAAGTCGGAATAACTTTTTTAAATTGCATTGTAGTATCAAATTTTTTTTTACAATGTTATTTTAAAAATGTTGTGTAAAAACGTAAGAAAATATTCAATCATAGCATCTAAAGGAAAATATGCTAAATAGAGTTTTTCAAAGTTTGATGATAAAAAAAAGTAATTATAAGTATGAATTTAACTGAAAAATTATAAATTCCGAATTAGTAGTTAAGTTTAAAACTTTAAGCTATGGTTACTGTACAAAATTTTTTTCCCCCTTTTTGCATGTAAAATAAGAAATTTTCCAATATTGTGTATTATGCGTGAATAAAAAAAGCAGTTAAAAATAAAAAAGTAATAACAGAGTAAGGAGTTTCCATCTAGTAAAGAAATTTTCTTTAAAAAAATTTCAAGAAGAAATTTCCTCTTTCGAGATTCTTAGTTTATATATAAATGCATTCTGAGTCAAAAAATTCGTAGATAGAATTAAGATTATAAATAAACATAAATTAAATACATTAGAACTGTCTTTCAATGGTAAGATCCAAGCAAGAATAATTGACATTTAGTGTTGTTCACTTTAATGATGTTGGTATCCTTTTTAGAGAAAAAACTGGTAAAAATGTTGAAAAAGAGAGGTAATATTAGAAAGAAGAATAGAAAACTAATAAAATTTCCATCATCATCAATTAGCATATAGGGAAAAAATAAAATTCTTCATATAATTATTCTTCCTTCTCCAATAAGTGCAAAATAAAATTATTCTTAAGTTAAAATAAACACTGAAATATATATTAAAAGGTGATAAAAGTTTCCACAAATGTTCCAAAAGTAAATGACATATCCTTATAGAAGAAAGCATATTTTTTCCTAGAATGGAATGACAGATTTTAAAGTTCAATTAACAATTCATAATTAAATTATCAGTTATATGTGTCTAAAAATGAAAGTCATGAAAACAATTGACTTATACTGTAAACATATATTTGTGATTTGGTAGCATATTTTCAACTTAAAAAATTGTATGAACATTTTTGTAAGATCTCCATAAATAAAAAAAGAACTTACTTGAGTCATATTTGATGTGTTTTTAATTTTTCTGATTAGAAAAGTACTTCTTAGAATCCAAATAAAACGAAATATCAGAGTTTTATTCCGTTTAATTGAGATATATTTAAAAGCATCATCAGATATTCTGGTCATGTAGTTCCTCTGAAAAATCAATTTAGTTTTCAGCATAATATATTTATAGCTTGATGTCTAATAAGTGTTTGAAAACAGAAATATATGTAAATTAATTCAATTCTGTCAGACTCTTATTCTGATAATCAATGTCATCACGCTACAACTACATATATTAATGAACCATGCTTAATAAACTTTGGAAAACATTTATAATGATTTATAAAGGAAACTTTTTTGATATTATAATTAATATTTTTAATAATACATTTAGATATGCAAATGTTATAACCGTATAGATTTAGTATTAAATACAGTTTAATATATATATGATTGGGGTAAAATAATTAAGGCACAGTTTTTATATATTTGACTTAAAAACTATTGATAAAATCTTTAAATACACTAATAGTAATGTTGAATTGGCTTGAAATAGAATATTATTTTTTATTATTTTTATACTTTTTTGAATGAAATTTTTTTTAAAGAATTTGCTGTTTAAATTCGATGATCTATAGTCTGGTCATATCCAGCAGACTATCACCCAGCCAGTCTGGTGGATATAACCTTCGGCTTGTAACCGAGTGGTTTTGGGTTCGAATTCCGAGTAAGGCATGGTTGTATCTTCTTCGGGAAAAGAAGTCGGTCTTTTGCCTGTATTAAATTCCCGTCTCGAATAGAAAGCAGCGCACTCTTTTTGTTCTATGCAGGGATTATTATTTGTAATAAATGTCTATATTATTTTGTTTGTTTTGTATGTTTCTGTTCTTCCACTCGTGTTTCATATGTATACCAGGAAAAAATACACAACAACATTTATTTATTCTTCAATTGATACTATATGTATCCATTACTGCTCTCTGCAGTAATTTCATTTGTTTCAGCTACTGTATTAAAATATTCAAACCTCCATTAAAAATGTTTACCTTAGACAATTACAATTAATTTTAATGAGAGAGGAATAGGTTTATATATTTTAAAAATCTAATAATTTATGACCTACATAATAATTATGCTCCCCAAGCAAACGCGTTAAAAAAATCTTAAGGTATCCGACTACGTTCGGAACCGTGATTTTAAAAAGCGCATAAATGGATAATTTTCGTGATATTTAGTGTCACTTTAGATTAGAATACATGTATAAAATTGTTTTAATGACATTTTGACAAAAAAAATTATTTGTATACAATATTTCGGCAAAAAAGTAACTTAGAATAACCTTTTTTCAAAATGTTCTCCTTTTGTGAAAAATGCTTCTACTGTAATAATATTTTGCCTGTATATAGCTCAGACATTTGTACAGAGGATCAACTATGACTTTTGAAAAATTTGCATTATTTTCAGTGTCAACCAATTGAAATAATTATAGGCGTTTTTTTTCTTAGAATTTCTCCCCTCTGCTGTCGTAAAACATGGATAAACCAACTTCTAAATTATATATTTCAAGAATTCTAGTTGAGCCTCTGTACAGAAGTCTGAGCTAAATACAGGCAAAATATTATTATAATAGAAGCAATTTTCACAAAAGGAGAACATTTTGAAAATTGTCATTCTATGCTCATTTTTTGTCAAAATATTGTACTTAAATAATTTTTTATTGTAATAATATTCTTAAAACAATTTTATATACATTTTCTAATCGAAGAGACACTAAATATCAGAAATGTTATCCATTTATACGTTTTTGTAAAATCACGGTTCTGAACCTAGTCGGATACCTGAAGTAAATAATAAATGCAAAAATATTTAAAAGGCTTTTTTTTGTATTAAATCTTTTCATTTACCTGTATGGAGCTAGACTATTTTACATGTTCCTTTTCTAACTTTTTATTTATTATAATTATTTCTTTATTATAAAACTCTGACAAGAAAAATCATATTTATATTTCCACTAAATGGAAATAAATTCTATTTATATTAGTTTTTTCCATCAAGATAGCATTTATTCAATCCCATCCACACTTTTATGTATTATATTTTCGGAAATTTTACTTTCAAATCTTGTATAGCTCTGTATTTATTTTTTAAAAGTATATAGAGCTCATATGAAATACAATAACATAATATTTTATTTGAAAGTCTGGTGACACTTTGATTTTGATACTTAATTAAGTTTTCCTTTCTTCATGTGTTGTGTTAAATGTAAGCACAATCTCTTATTTCTTTTTGCTATTATATGTAAAGGAATTATTTCAACAAAATGTTATGCTTGAGACTCAAAAAACTCTAACAGCTTAAGACATATCTTGATATTTAAAAAAGCAACAGAAAGTGATTATGATGATCAAAATTTTGAAAGCCAGAATTCTGACGTAATATTTATATACCATCAAGGATAACCTTTAAAAAATGGTAAGATGTGACTACTTAATGTTTGGCTATGGCATCCCTCCCTTGATGGTTTGCTTCGATTTCCTTCAAATATATTCAAAACGTTTCCGTGCCTCCTGCGAAATGGACAAGTTTTGAAATCTCAATAACCGTAGACGGGGCCGAATTTGATGAACGATCATGAGCTAGCTCTAAAACGGTGCGTTAAATGTGCCATCTAAGAAACGAGTAAAATGAGGACGAAATAGCTTGATCTGAAAATCCGAAGATGGATGTTATCTTCAGGAGGATGATTTGTGCAGTCATCAGAATCGAGGAGCCCATTTTTTCTCTGACAGTGGGGCTGTCTTCTATTCTAATATCCTTCCTTTCTCATTTTTTCCTATTTTGATTCTTCCAGCCCATCAAAAATTGTTTTTTCTTCCCTTTTTCGACGAACAACAAAATATCAGATTGCTAATTTCAACAGAAGATTTTATGGAATTATATTTCAAGTACCTTAAAGAGGAGATTTTCATAAAGTGCCATTTCTTTCAATGTGCGATGAAAAAAAAGTATACGGAAAAGTAAAAATATATAGGAAATAGAGTAACTTTAACACTTTCTATCACAGCTTATCAAAATTTTTTTTTTAAAAAAAAATATGTGCATTTATATATATATATATATATATATATATATATATATATATATATATATATACACGATTGTTTTTCTAAACATATTAATGTAAATACGAATAATAATGATTTATGTACCAAAAGGAATTTTTGTAGTTGATCAAGTTTCTGAAAAAAGGAGGATTTTTTTTTAATTCTGGAACGAAAATTATACATTGAAGCAAAAGTAATTTTGTCAAATTTTTAAATAAAATCAAACTTATCCTTTTGAACATTAATAATTGACAATTTAATATTCAACACCTGTAGATGATATAAGGGAAAGAGGAACTCGTGTATGTGAAAAAAACCAGTTCCATTGGAGCAACTTTAAAAGAAAATCAGATAATCTCATCGTGCTGCGTATTGAATTAAGATTGACTAAACGAATATGATTTAAATAAGTAAGCACAGTGTGAGATACAGAAGATTAGACTTTTCTTTTTTTCAGTGGTGTAAATAAAAGTAGATAATTTTACAACTGTACACAGCACATGGCGTGAATTTTAAAAAAAGTCATAGAATGAAATATTGATACATATTACTTAAGGAAGTAAATGTTTTTACTATTATGTCTAAGATATGAAGTAGTAAATGATTGTTTATTGCCTTATAACACATTCTACTTTATTCAAATGCATGCTTAATTCAGCTATGCAGTTAAACCTGTTTTTGTGCGGTAGATAGGAAACCGCTTAAAAAATTGCACAAAAAAATATTCGAAAATTTCATAAAAAAATACTTACTTATAACAAACAATTTTGTCGACATACTACAAAAAACCTTTTTTATGCGGTGGATAGGGACCGCATAAAAAAAGTCGCACTTAAAAAATATGTCAATAATTTTCGAAATTTATATATGAGAAAGTACTTCCAAACAAAATAAATAATTAAATTCCACATGGAAACATTTTAAAAGTATTTAATTTCTTATTGTATACACGGAGAAATTTTCAAAAGACTCATACATAATTTGCTGCTACTCATCGTACTCTTAGTGGGATGAATTAGTTCAAAATCGCTTTCATCACTTGAAGATAAAATTCCAATTAATTAATTTTTTTAGCACCATTAAGTAAGTGATAAGTTTTTGTGACGACGGTCAGTTGATCGGTTGTCAGTTGCTTGTGAACGTCACGATAGTCAGATATGCATGCTCTCTTGAAGCTCTTTTTTTTTAATTTCAAACTTTTTTCGAGATAGTATCTATTTTATGAGAATGCTTTTTTCCGATTTGTTGAAAAGCTGGATCTCAGCAAATATTGTATCCACTTTCAAAAAATCTGGTGCTTCTTCATAATCTTCATAATCTATCAAATCAATGACAATGTCACTGTCATTGAAAGTTTCATCTTCAAGCGAGTGCGTGCTGCTAGTGCGTTGAGAAAGCAATGGAACGCGCATTCTCGAGAGACTGTTTATAACCAATTAACAGAGCGTCTTGAAGTGTACGTATGTACATTGATAGAAAACATTACAGGGGTGCCAAAACCGTTGAAATTCATATACCGCATAAAAAAAAGATCGCACACAAAATTGCACAAAAAAATCGTACAAAAAATCGCACAAAAATAAAATCACACAAAAATAAAATCGCACACAAATAAAATCACACAAAAGTAAAATCGCATAAAAAAGGACCGCACAAAACCAGGTTCTACTGTATTTTGTATTTTAAAAACTGAAGTATATGACAAGTGATGTATGTAATATAAGTTGATTTCAATCTTTTATACAAAAAGAATTACTTTTCTCATCAAAGATTCTGTTTTTTAGAAATGCGTTGTTTACTAGAATAACTGGGATTTGAAACATAAGTTGCAAGAAACTTTTAAAAGATGTATATGTCAGAGTAATATTTTCCCCCGTTTTTACTACACAGAAAACTATTTTTCTCTATAATTCAAATATAAATATATAGATTTAATCTCTCATCTCACACATATATATTTATGGCTGTATTAAGCAACATTTAAAATAAGTTAAGGAAAGAGAGTAAATGATAATATATATCTATATGAGAGAAATAATTTAATTAATACAAGATTCAACGTAGAGAATATTTGTACACTTTTGTACATTTCATTTATAAAATCTCACCAAACCTCTAACAATTACTTCGCATTAAAAACTTCGTTAGATTAAAAACTGATACCAATTTTGATAATCTGTAAAACAATTTGAATATAAACATAAAAATATGGTGTAGGGGTTTATTGCACAAAATTCTGTATTTATTATTTTATTCTGGTGCACAAATTTAAAACTTGCTGATTTATATATATAACATACATATTTTCCCTCATTCATAAAATATGTTATAAAACCTTTAGGTAGCGGAAAAAGAACAAAGGGATTTATTTTAAACAAAAATGCTAATTTTACTTATAATTTTTCCAATAAATCTTGCAATATAAGCGTTAGATATTAAGTACTGTAAAGATATGAGAATTTATGATTTACTAAATTTAAAAATTTTTGAGGAAGATGCTTTCTGTTTAATTTAATTATATTTGAACTACTAATGCAATTAAGCACATTATGAATTAAATGACTTTTTAGTTGATCATGGATTTAGTTGATTTGGATGATCATTAAAACTCTTATTTATAGCATTGCAATT